TTTGTAGTGCGATGGCTAGGAGCAACGCGCCGATCGTCGGCGAGCAGGGGCTTGAGAAAGGGAAGCGATGGGAAGTCGCTAGAGAGAGAAAGTCTCTGTTAATTTTAGGCCTTAAGGTATTCTTTTGAAATACTTCTTGCAGTGTTTAATTGTTTATGATTGAGACATATAATGGAAAGTTGGAAACGAAATGAGCTACTCCCTCCATTTTCTTTTGGTTGTTCCATTTGAAATCTTAAGAGATTCTAATGGAAATAGAATCAAGTATTTAATGGTTTTTCTAAAGTTCAAAACATAGTAATGTAGGATCTTGTTACATTCGCCTTATTTCTATAATATTTTATAATGCGTAAATTGAGATATTTCAATTACAATATTGCATTGGAAACCATGTATATATCAAATGGGACAAACATATAAACACTAGAAGGAGTATTTATATATGTAGATATGTTCCAAGGTCGGACTATAAGGATTGAAATGATCCCCTAATGATAAAGCTAATGTTTTCAGTGAACCTCTGATCACTAAGGTTTGGAATGAACTTTAGCTTATTTTAATTTGGAAGCTTGTGCGAGCTTCGAGTGATGTGATTTGATTAAAGGGAAATCACTTAGAAAAATCACACTGCTGACTTTCCTCAATAATGTCATCGAAGGCTTAGGTATCCCATGAGATGTCATTGAGAATCTAATCCAAGGGGATGAAGATATATAAAGGCGAAGAATGATGTTTTAAACCCTAAAAATTAAAATACAAGTGTATATTTTGAAAACCATTAAAACACACAAAAATGAAGTAGACATTCCATGGCCATGAAAGAATGAAAGGAATGTTGTCCTTCGAACAAGTGTATTATTCCGATAGAAATTTCGGAATTAATTAGGAAAGCTAATTATTCAGTGAAGTCAAGTGATCGAAATGCCTAGCTGGAGGCCGCTTTCGATCAGTAAGATTAATATAATTAATCTTACATCTTGCTCTTGACTGAACTCTACGGGTCACACCCAATTGTGTAACCGAACAAAGGCGACAAATTAAATCGAAGGATTAAATAAGTCAATAAGGATTTTACGAACTCAGACGTTTGATTTCGAGCTTAGAGCGTCAAAGCCGAGCGTCGAATGTCGAGTTGATTCAACGGATCGACGAGACGATAAATAAGTCAAACGACAAGTCAACACCTAGCCATAGCCTCGCAATGGCCTAGCTAGCAACTAGCCATGTGAGGGATAGGTTAACCAAGCTGCCTGACCCAAGGAAAGGCTTAGCCGCAATCCCAGCATGCATCGCATGCAATGGTTGGGCGAGCTAGGCCGAGTAGCCTTGCGGGCAAGCATCACTAGCAAGAGCAGCACCCAGCGCTAGCAGCCCGCACTTGCTTGCGAGGCTTGCTAGGAGGGGCTGCTTCCTTGCAAGCCTTGCATCATAGCGGTAGCAGCAGCGAGCACACTAGCCCGCAATCACATAGCACTAGCAGCGTGCTGGGCTTGCGAGTGCATGCCTAACCGAAGGCCAAGGCTGCCAGCTTGGCATGCCTTGAGGCCCAAAGTTGGGGGGTGCTGTGCATATGGGTTTGGTGGGAGGATTGCTTGCTCCTCAAGGAGGGTTTGTGGTCCTCACCTAACCCCTCCCTTGGATTGACACTTTTCGTTTGCTTATTGTTCATGTTATTAAATTTAATTTAGAATTAAATTAATTGCTTATTTTCTCATCTTACCAACTCTTGCACATGGAAAGATTATTGTGGGAGTTGGGAATGCTTTGCCTATAAATACCAACCTTGGGAGTTGGGAATTTACACACTTTGAGTAAAACTCCAAAGTTTGGTTCGGTCTCGTCTAAGCGAGCTACGAGATAGGAACCTCGTTCGGGCGCGTAGGTGTGCGAAGTAGGAGGATTCGCGCGTGCGTGTCTAGAGCTTTCTGAGGGTCGTGCTCGTGTTCGGGTGAAGCATACTTCAAGGGTAAGATGGTATTTTTCCCCTCTTTCTCTCTCTCTCTCTTTTATGTGCTTATTGCTTTATTAATTGCGTGTTTATAGTTAGTTGTGTTAGTTATGCATGTGGTCCGGGGCAAGTTTTGGTTCTGCACAATTCTCGTGCACCGTAAAACCCAACAGCGGTGCGACGAGCCTCTTGCATTTAATTTTTACAACTAAAAAGTAATTAAGGTGATATAAAATAGATTTTAATATCTGGATTAGCAACCTAATTAGATTAGGATCTTGGTTTTATTAGATAAAATTGGTTTATTGCTATATTATGATTACAAACCTAAATTTTGACTCAAAAATAGTGTTTTTTGGGTGGAATCGATGTTCTAAATTAAACTACACCCACAAAGTGTTTAAAAATTGGCTTCTAGTGGCCAAAATCTGCCCAAAAATTTGTTTTTTCAAGGGTTTTTCATTTAGAACGAAATTTTTTAAATCTTTAAACCTTGATTAATTATGACATGTAATTATTGGATTATGTTATTGATTATGGCATTAATCTACTGTAATTATATTCCTTATTAAGCATGATTTTGATATCATTTGGTTGCTTAATTTGGAATGCTCTAATATTCACATAAACTTGGAAATTGTTCATTTTGCAATTAGATTGCTTGAAATGTATGAGTTTATGTTGAATGTGATTTATCAACCTTTAAATAGTCAAAGATTGAATCTTTAATGATTTATTGATAGAATCTTGACTTGCTAAAATCAAAAAGTGAACTTACTTTGAGTTTTAATGATTTTGGAAATCGATTAAAATCATGAATGTTCACATTTATGCTTAAATATTATTCTTCTTTAGATAATTGAAGTATTCAAGTGTTGGTTGAATAAATTATTTTCATTAGATGGTTAATTAATTTATTCAATTAGTTTTGTAATATACATAATTAATTTTAATCATTGGATAAGTTAATTTAGTTATGTTGCATGCCATTAATTTTTTGATGGCATCAAAGTGACCTAAATTATTAAAGAATGGTTCTTGGAAATAATGTTTTGGTTATTGCACTAAAATTGGATTAATTAAGTTGGACTTAAAATTAATTCCAAAATTGCTCGTTATTTAATTCTAAATTGGATTTAGAATTAAAACTTGACATACAATTTTTCGGGATTGAAAGTTCCGAAATTTGCACCAAAATCAAGGTTTGGAAGCTTTGAAGAGATTCCCTCGGCTAGCAAGTGCTGATACTGCTGCTGCCGAGAGCAAGCTCTCATTTTGTGCGAGTGTGCGCAAGTGCATGTGTGAGGAAGTGCGTGCGTGGGAGGGCTGCTACGTGCGTGCCGCAAGGGCAGGGGTTGCTAGGTAGCACCCAGCCCATAAGGGAGGGCTGCCTAGTAGCACTTGCTGATGGCTCTAGCACACGCAAGCACGCTGCCAGCCCAGCAGCACGCAAGCATGCTAGGCATGCTGTGCGGCTGCCGAGAGCTTGCGAGTGCTTGCTACGTTGCTAGGCTAGTGCAGCCAGCACGCAAGGCCTATGGGGCTGCTAGGCAGCACCTTGCCCAAGCGCTAGCAACCCTGCTCGGCTAGGCAGCCTAGCAGCACCTGCCCCTTTGGCTTGGGAGCTAAGCCTCGGGTATAGGCTTGAGTTTTACGTTTTATTATAAAAACGAGGCAAGACCTCTGTTTTTAACATAATTAAGTAATTTTTTGACAAAATTTGACTCGATGTGCTTAATTAAATTCAATGGTTGTGGGTTTTAATGGGTGCTTCGTTAATTGGTTTTAAGCTCGTTAAGCTTTAATTATGCTTATTATTGCATTAGTTCACATAATTGGAATAAACACTTGACTAGTTTTAATTAGGCATGTAAATCTGATTAACAACCTAAGTTAGTAACTAGTGCGTGCTTGTTTGATACAAGTTTTGTATTATTGCTCGCGTTGTTTGTAACAATTGCATAGGCCATTCACTTTAGAAGTGAATGGGTGAATGGAATATTATAAATGTTCTTATACAGAGTTTTACAAAAAGTGACTAGTATGGCCTGACTAGGATAGTAAATACGAAGTGCGTTCCGTTACGTATTTTTGTAAATCTAAATACGGATTGCATGCCGTTAAGTATTTTTGTATTTAATTTATTTAGATTACTCCTAGTTACTAGTACTTGCATGCTTAATGGTGAAATCTAAAGACGACATATCTTTGAAGATGGAGTCTAAAGATGCCAAGATGACCTTGAACATTGGATGCTTCAAGATAATTTTCAAGGGGTCATGCTAGTTCACTATGCAGTTTATATATGTCGATTTATATTGCTTATGTATCTTGATATTTAGATGCATGTTTAGGATTTCAATGTTGAATGATTAATTAAGTTCACTTAAATCAAACCAACATAGAACCCCTAAGTCCCAAAAAAAATTGAGTTAAAATTTGCCATTCCTAAATGACACTTACTAAAAATTCAAAAGTGGGTGATGGGCTATGCCAAAGCAAGGAATCATCACTTTCTTAAGGACGTAAGGTATATTAGATATACGAGTTAGTTTTGGTTAAACTCAACAATATCGGTAAGGAATCCTTAGCTATTGTGGCAAACGAGATAAGTGTCATGAAAGCATTAGAGGCAACGACTTATCAAACCAAGAATAGTTTGGAACTATTAGCAATTGGATTGCTTACCTTAAAATAATAAGTGTTAAGACAAGCCAAAGCATGCTAAATCATTTATTGTTTTTTGGGATCTTGGAATCGTTTTATTATCGCCTAAATGGGACAAACTTATATATGTGTGAATAAAACGTTAATAAGATTGAATGTTGCAAGTATGCTTTAAATTTCAAACTTATTGGTTTATGAATGGTTATTTATTGCAATTATTTTCATTTATAGTATAATGTCTGCAACTAATACCAACAACAACCAGTTTTCTCTCCGCTCAATTCTCGATAAGGAGAAGTTAAGTGGAACAAACTTCCTTGATTGGCAAAGGAATTTGAGGATTATTCTTATGCAATAACAAAAGGAGTATGTCCTTGATGAGGAAATGCCACTCTCTCTTAATGAGGAGGTGACACAGGTTGCCCTAAACCGGTGGATTGCTGCCAACCGGGATGTCAAATGCATCATGTTAGCCACGATATCCCCGAAGCTTCAAAAGACATTTTTGGAGAGGGACACGACTTTTGAGATCATATCTGAACTTCAGAATATGTTTCAAGAGCAAGCTAGGACCGAAAGGTTTGAGAACCATAAGCAAATCCTTGAGAGCAAGCTCGAGAAAGGAGAGCCTGTTAACCCTCATATGCTCAAAATGATTGGATTATTCGAGTTTATGGAGAGGCTTGATGCAGGATACTCGACCGAAATGGCAATTGACATAGTTCTCCACTCGCTGCATAGAGGTTATGACCATTTCAAGATGAACTATAACATGCACGTCATGGAGAAAACCCTCACGGAGCTTCACGAAATGTTGAAGCAAGCCGAGTAATTACTCAGAGATGAGGGGACGCATGACATGCTTATGGTCAAGAAGGGCAAGCCATTCAAGCGATCAGGCGAGAAGAAGGGCTATAAGGGGAAGGGCAAGAAGGCCTCTCCACCTAAGCCAAAAGCTTCCAAAGGCGACAAGCAAAAGAAGGCAGCTTCTTCATTCTCCGTCCAACTCCGAATGAATCTACTGCAAGAAGAAGGGGCATTGGAAACGGGACTGCCTAAAGCTTAAGGAGGATAAGAAGAACGGCGTTGTTGCTTCTGGATCAGGTATATTTGTTATAGACCTTAACTTTTCTAGCAATGCTTCATGGGTATTAGATACCGGATGTGGCTCACATCTTTGTTCCAATTCTCAGGGACTAAGGAAAAGTAGAAAGCTAGCGAAGGGAGAAGTGCAACTTCGGGTAGGCAATAGAGCAAGGATTGCTTGTGTATCCGTAGGAATACTCAGTTTGTCTTTGCTCTCGGGCCTTGTTTTAAAACTAGATGAATGTTATCATGTTCTAAACATCACCAGAAACATTATTTCAATTTTGGCTTTGGACAAGGGTTTTAAATTTCGGGTAAGGGGAAATAGTTGTTCGTTTTATCTTGATAATGTTTTTTATGGTACGACACATTCAGAAAATTGTCTTTACGTGCTTTCTTTAGACAAACAGGTTTATAACGTTGAAAATACCGCCAAAAGGGTTAAGACCGGTGGGTCGAATACAACCTACATGTGGCATTGTCGTCTAGGCCATATAAACATAAAAAATGCATCAAGAAACTTCTAAACGAAGGCATCCTTGATTCATTTGACTTAGATTCATTTGAAAATTGCGAAGGATGTTTACTTGGTAAGATGATAAAACAACCCTTCTCCAATTTGGGAGAAAGGGCAAGTGACTTATTGGGTCTCATTCACACGGATGTGTGTGGAACAATGAGCACGACCGCAAGAAATGGTAATCGCTATTTCATCACTTTCACGGATGACTATAGTAGACATGGATATGTCTACCTAATGTCGTACAAATCTGAATCATTTGAAAAGCTCAAAGAATTTCATAGTGAAGTGGAGAAACAGCTAGGCAAGAAAATCAAAGCCCTTTGATTGGATTGAGACGACGAGTATTTGAGCTATGAATTTGACGATCATCTGAAAGAACATGGTATTCTGTTATAATTGACACCTCCCGGAACTCCACAATGGAACGAAGTGTCCGAGAGGAGGAATCGAACCTTGTTAGACATGGTTCGATCCATGATGGGTCTTACCGATCATTCTATTTCTTTTTGGGGACATGCACTTTAAATTCCGGCACTAACACTGAACCGCGCTCCATCAAAAGCTGTCGAAAAGACTCCATATGAATTATGTACGAAGAAACCTCTACAGTTGTCTTTTCTTAAGATTTGGGGTTGCGAAGCATATGTCAAGAGACTCATGTCTGACAAGCTTGCACAAAAATCTGAAAAATGTTTCTTTGTGGGGTATCCAAAAGAAACAAAGGGGTATTACTTCTACAACCAATATGAGAACAAAGTATTTGTTGCTCGAGATGGTGTCTTTTTGGAAAAGGAGCACCCTTCCAAAATCACAAGTGGGAGGAAAATCGAACTTGATGAAGTTCGAGAGGATGAGTTACAAAAGGAACTTGACAATCAAAGGGCTTTGGAAGCACTTATTGATAAAATTCAGAGTCAAACCGACAATGTTAATGCTTAACCTATCACCTTGCGTAGGTCGTAAAGGCTAAGATCTCAACCAGACAGATACCTAGGTGTCGTGTTAACCGAGAATCAAGAAATCCTGGTTATGGATGGTGATGACCCAGCGACATACAAACAAGCTATGATGAGCCCCGACTCTGCTAAATGAATAGAGGCCATGAAATCCGAGATGGACTCCATGTTTGAAAATCAAGTCTGGGACTTGGTTGATTTGCCCGAAGGTTTCACACCTATCGGTTGCAAATGGATTTTCAAGATGAAAATCGACAAAGATGGAAATTTATATGTATACAAAGCTAGACTTGTGGTAAAAGGTTACAGGAAAATTCACGGTGTTGATTATGATGAAAGCTTTTCACCAGTCGCAATGCTTAAGTGTGTCCGGATTATCCTAGCGATTGTCGCATATTATGATTACAAAATATGGAAAATGGATGTCAAAACCGCCTTCCTTAATGGGATTTTGGAAGAAACTGTGTACATGACACATACGGAAGGTTTTGTGGATCCAAGAAACAAAGGTATGCAAGCTTAAGAAATTCATATATGGATTAAAGCAAGCCAACATGAGTTGGAATCTGCGATTTGATGAAGGAATTAGTATGATTGGCTTTACCAAGAATCCAGATGAGTCTTGTGTTTACAAGAAGGTTAGTGGGAGTGACACCACATTCCTAGTCTTATATGTCGATGACATATTGCTCATTGGGAACAACATTCCAATGCTGGAGTCTGTAAAGACTTAACTTGGAAAGTGTTTTTCAATGAAGGACTTGGGAGAGGCACAATACATTTTGGGCATCAAGATCTATCGGGATAGATCTAAGAGGATGATTGGATTGAGCCAAAGTACTTATATTGATAAGGTACTGGCACGATTCAACATGGTGGAAGCCAAGAGAGGCCACCTACCCATGTCTCATGGCATAACTCTTAGCAAGAAATATTGTCCAAAGACATCTGATGAGTGAGAGAGAATGAATCAGATTACATATGCTTCGCTTATTAGATTGATCATGTACGCCATGATATGGACAAGGCCGGATGTATCGTACGCCTTGAGTGCTACGAATCGATACCAATCAGACCCATGAGAGGCGCATTGGATTGCTGCCAAAAATATCCTAAAGTACCTGAAAAGGAACAAGGATAAATTTCTGGTCTATTGTGGAAGATAGACCTAATCTAATCCGCTCTCACCATACCGATGCAAGCTTCCAGACTGACAGAGACGACTTCAAGTTGCAATCAAGGTACATATTATGTCTAAATAGAGGAGCGTTCAGTTGGAAGAGTGCTAAGCAAAGCACGACTGCAGATTCTACAACTGAAGCTGAATACTTGGCAACTTTGGAAGCAGCTAAGGAGGCAGTTTTGATTCGTAATTCCGTTGATGAACTTGGTGTTGTGCCCTCAATCAAGAGACCAATAGACTTGTATTGTGACAACAATGGGGATATTGCTCAGGCCAAGGAGCCTAAGGAACATCAGAAGGTCAAACATGTCATGATGAGATTTCACATGATCAGGGAGTGGACTGCCGGAGGTGAAATCAAGATTTGCAAAGTTGGAACGGACGACAATGTAGCCGATCCACTTACTAAACCTTTGCTTTAAGTGAAACACAACAAGAACGTTGAGGCAATGGGAATTAGGCACATCAGAGAGTGGCTCTAATTCCCTGTTCATGTGTTTTAATAAAGTTTTGGAGATCTTGATGTAAAACACTAAGTTAACCATTTATTTATGGAGTAACTTTAATTTTTGAAAAATTATTATTCCATGTCTATTTAATTGTGGTTTAGAATTAAATAATGAGTCCATTCGATTTGACGATATTCAAAATGGGGCATCAAGACAATGTCTTGGACAAAGAAACACCTATTAAGTGAACATTGAATATCATATCGAAAGTATCCCTAATCAAGGTCATTTGGAGGTTGGACGACTAATGAGCTTGTGAGTTTAGTGTGTATTATGATTTACAACATTGTTTCTTGTGCTACAAGGACATGAATGTCATAAATCATTTACACAGGTATAAGTTTGGAACTATACCGAATCGACCTATAAAAATACTTTAAGAGATTTAATGATTGTCATAAGTGTTTTACTCATTGGCTATCGGTACCACTTTCCTCAACCATGAGTATTGTAAGTTCTCTTGTTTGAGTACTAGTCTGTATTGATGTTGTCAAACGTCTGCCGTACAACGGGATTATAAAGGTAACACTCAGGCAGTTAGGCCTCTTAGTAAGGGAAGCTTGACAACACAAGACTGGGAATGTCCTCTTATTAACAATAGAAAGTATGTCTTTGTTGTTTACAAGGCCTCTCGAAGAGCGAGACTATGAAAATGCATGGTTGTACTATGATGGATTTTAGAAATCATCTGTACTTGACAGTCGAACTCGGAATTTTGAGAAACATTTTTGGACGTAATAAGGATGACCATGAATCTTACCTTATAGTTCATGAAGAGGAATTAAGTGACATAGGAAAAGGGCAATACACATAAAGCACACTTGTCCGGAAGGACAAGTGGGAGATTGAAAGGAATGGTGTCCTTCGAACAAGTGTATTATTTCGATAGAGGGTTCGGAATTAATTAGGAAAGCTAATTATTAGTGAAGTCAAGTAATCAGAATGCCTACTGGAGGCCGCATCCAATCAGTAATATTAATATAATTAATCTTACAGCTTGCTCTTGACTGAACCCTACGGGTCACACCCAATCGTGTAACCGAACAAAGGCGATGAATTAATCCAAAGGATTAAATAAGTCGATAAGGATTTTATGAACTCAGACGTCGGATTTCAAGCTTAGAGCGTCGAACACCGAGTCGATTCAAAGAATTGACGGGACGATAAATAAGTCAAACGACAAGTCAACACCTAGCCGTAGCCTCGCAATGGCTAGCTAGCTGCTAGCCATGTAAAGGCTAGGCTAGCCAGGCTGCCTGCCGCAAGGCAAGGCTTGGCCGCAAACCCAGCATGCATCGCATGTCATGGCTGGGAGAGTTAGGCTGAGCAGCCTTGCGGGCAAGCATCACTAGCAAGAGCAGCGCCCAGCGCTAGCAGCCCGCACTTGCTTGAGAGGCTCGCTAGTAGGGGTGCTGCCTTGCGAGCCTCGCATCATATTGGTAGCAACTGCGAGCACACCAGCCCGAAATCGCATAGCACAAGCAGCATGTTAGGCTTGCGTGTGCAAGCCCAACCGAAGGCCAAGGTTGCCAGCTCCTGGTATGCCTTAGGCCCGAGGTTGGGGGGTGCCGTGCA